TAGAAATAAAACGTATATAAAATAATGTCGTCAATTACAATTGAAGTGTAATTTTATGAATCTTATTTTATTTATTTAGAATTGCTGTTCAGCTCCAGTAAGCCTGACATGGTGCGTTTTAGTCCATTTAGAAAATTAAAAATACAAAATAGAAAAAAAAAATACAAAAAAATACAAAAAAATACAAAAAAATACAAAAAAAAAATTTTTTATTATTTTTTTTAAAAAATGCTGTTGTTTTAAATCGTTTTAATTTATATAGTATGTATAAACTAGAGTTGATCAAAACGATACTGGTATCGGCCAACCCGAGACCGATCTGTTATGGACGGATATCCGAAAAAAATTATGGACTAAAACTTGGACAATATTGAGAATTTTGTTTCTTCGAGTCATTATCGTTTCTCGCCCAGAAATCGACCGAGAATATCGGTATCGGTTTCGAGACCGAGAATGAAAAAACCGAGACCGATATTGGAAAAAAGCCGAGAATCTCGGTATCGGTCTCGGTATCGGTCTCGTCTTGATCAACTCCAGTATAAACTAGCTTTTATAAGAAATATTTTTCGGAAATGCCAATCAGCAAAAAAGTTGGCTAGACGTCAAAATAAAATATTTGATCAAATAATTTAAAAATTATTTCATATTTGAAAAAAATTTGATTTTGTCCAAAGGTGATCAAGCAAATCTTTTTCCGCCGTGAAATATTTGTTTATTCGAACTCTGCTCGGCAATACAAAACAATTGGTCATTTTATCTTATATTGTGGAATTTACTGAATAAAATAAATAAAAATTTTTTTATCTATTCTCTAGGTCGTCTTCTTCGCAAATATGGAGTACTTCTATCCGACGATTTAAAAGTTTTTGAGGCATAAATGCGAATACTAGGAGATGTAGTTGTTGATTTTACTGTGTTCTTTAAATCTTCAATATTTTTGTTTGTTGATTTGGTTATCCATTTTGTTTCTCCTTGCTTTCCTATTGGCCCGGTGGGGCCTCGAGGGCCTGAAAGTCCTGGTTGACCTGGAGGGCCTCTTTCTAAAATTGAGAAAATGTTCTGTATTTTAATTTGATTGAACGAATTTACCTCCTTGAAATCCTCGTAGACCAATCGACCCCACTTCTCCTTGGTGCCCATCATATCCCGCTACTCCAGGAGGGCCTTGTGGGCCAGGATTGCCAACTGGCCCTGTGGGAATATTTTAGTTTTTTAGTTTAATATTTTAGTTTTTTAGTTACCTGGAGGACCAGTTGCCGCAAGGAAGACGAGCCTTCCAGGATCCCCAATTGGACCAGCAATGCCAATATCGCCTGGAGGACCTGGTAGACCAACGGGGCCAGGTGTTCCCTTTGTGCCTTCCACGCCTGAAAGGCCAGGAATGCCTGGAGTACTGAAAATTTGTAGAATTATTTTTGAAATTTCTTTAACTGGTACTTTATTAATATCCCCCGCCCCCACGCCTATTTGATTCTCCGATTAATGTCAATCTTTTTTGCCTCACAAATTTTAGATAAATGGCAAATTAGAAGGCCTCGTTTCTAATTTCGCTCCTACAATTTGCCTTTTACTTATACTGTGTGAGTGAAAGAATGATTGACAGTAAAAAATGAAAATTAATCTGAGGCTCAAATAAGAATAGGGGTGGGATATTAATAATATACGCTTTAACTTTTTTCTAATATAAAAATACCCAGCTGGCCCAAGTGTTCCCTTTACTCCAGGTGTACCTGGAGGTCCAGGATTCGGAGCTGGGCAGATTTGACAAAAATCTTCTTCAGATTGTTGCAGTTTTATATAAACACCATTAACTCCATTACGACCATTTAACCCATCGTCTCCAGGTTTTCCGTCTTTACCGTGTTTACCCTGCTTTCCAGGTGGTCCAGCGGGTCCTTGTTGACAACTACAACCTTTAAATTAAAAAATATTTTTTAATACGTTTTACCCTACTACAAGTTACAACCATAAACCTCGGTTTAAAATACTTAAGGTATTTATTATTATGAACAGGATATTTTATATTGAGGTTTTAATTTATTTTTTATCACATACAAGCTTCCCTTAAAGCATATGGCGATGAATATTGAGTCTTTTTTACATCCCTTTTATTTCGCCTTACAGGAGCTGATTCATATTTTTGTGAAATACGATCCTGAATAGCAAGAAGGTCTGTCTGGAAATAAAATTATTTTTTTAATTTTAAAAAAATTTTTTGCCTTGCATAAAACGCTGTTTTCAATTAAATAAGCATTCTTTTGTTGCAAGTTTATAAATAATAAAGGAAATATTATTGCAATAAATGTAAATGTAAAAATTGAAATTGTTGTGGAAAAAATTAATAATGGCCTGAAATCTTCTTTGACTTCCATTCTTTGGTATAAAAATTTTTTAACGAAAAAATTTCGAAAAACAGATGGAAACTTGCTAAAAAACAAAAAAAAAGATAATTTTTCCAGTTAAAATTTTTATTTAATTAAGTAAAATTTAATTTTATGTTTCATTTAATGGAGGGTTTATTCTCGAATAAATTATGATAATATTATGGGGAATGGTTAATTTGTTGATTAGTTATTAATTTAAAAATAAACGTATTTCTTTCTTGACCTATTGCGCATTTATGCCGTTCGTTTCAAAACAAGTTTTAACAGATATGTAAATAAAATTGACTAGAAAATGTTTGTAGATATATACAAATTGCAATAAAACTAGGTCATATTATTAATTTAAAATAAAAATTATTTCGTTGAATTTTTCAAACTGTCTATCCAAAATTCTTTTATGGACTAATCGTAATTTTGCACATGTTTGAACTAATCGTAGTTTGTACTCGTAGTTTTTTATCGAAGTTTTTTTCTCTCTAAACAGTGAATTGAAAGGATTAGGAATTCCTCCTAAAACCTCGTCTTAAATTTAACCCTCGGCTTTTATCTCGTCTTCTCAACCTCGGTGATCTCAATGTGATTTTTTGAAGAATCTAACCTCGCGCAATTCTAAATTAAGAAAATTCTTAATAATAAAAACAAAATAAAAAAATTGTGTTCCACTTCCGGTTAGCAATATCTCCGGAAATCAAATTAAAAACAAACTTTAATTCCTTTTTTTATTCCCCAGCTTTTATTTTTCAATTTTGTCAAAATAAAAATTAAAAATAAATGTTAAAAACGAGAAGCAAAAAATAAATTATTATTTAGATAGGTGGAGGGATTAGTGTTTGAAGTTAAATAATTAAAATTGTTTTATTATTTTAAAGGATTATAAACAAATAGCCACCTTCACTTTTAATGCATTGCTAACAAATTTTGTTGATTAATTTTATTTATTTTTTATAAAAAATTTATTTTTTTAGTTAATTAATTATTTTATTTTAATAATTTTATTTAAATTTATAAAAGGAAAGAAATATTTATTTATTCGTTTTTTTATTAATAGAAACCTTATTATTAAATTATTTTTAATTAAAGAAAGTAAATAAAATTTGGTAAAAATATTATTTTTTTCTAAACATTCCTTTTTAACATAAAAAATTTTTATAAATTTTAGATAAAATTTATAATTTTTAGACACAAATCTATAAATTTTATATTAATTTTTTATTAAAATTTATCTAATTCCAAGAAATTATAATTAATTTTTATATAGAATAAATTATAATTTAAAAGAATATTAGAATGTTTCTTGGAATTTAAACATTCTAATTAAATTTCCCTTCCAATTATATGTACGTATTAATTATGCTTTTATTTATAAAGCATTTCTCTTTTTTATGTTTGATGAAAAATATTTTTTGTACTTTATTAAAACTTTAGAAATTTTTTATTTAAAATTTTTATTTGGGAAAGAGAAGAACGACACTCCACCCATTCCTTCAATGGTTAGTCAGATGTAATTTCCGATTCCTTAACTTAATGGCTATTTGGAGACTTGATATTAAAATTCGAATTTTAACTCTTTAGGCAAAAAAAATTCTATCTGAGAGTTCAATTGTTCCTGAGTTTCATTTTCTTTGGCGATTTTTTGTCTGAATCTATCTGAGACCGAGAAAATCTCGTTTCGAGATTTTTTGAGATATCGATCTCGATTCTTGTTACTAGATACATATACCTTACCAGTCAGGTCTCTATGCCATAACTTTATAAAATTATGTTGAAAAAAAGTTCCCTGCGTTTATCTTCCATTAGTTAAAATACTGGAGCTTTCGGAATTAAAGCTCAATATTAATTTAAACAATTAGGACATTAAATAAAAAATTTTTTGCAAAATTTTTTCAAATTAATAATAAAAATTTTACAAATTTTCTAATGAAATTTGAAATAAAAAAACATTTTCCCATTCACATTTCCTTTATTCTTTTTTATTATTTGTTTGCTTAGTGGGCGTTGTGGAGAGATGTTTTACCCTTTTCGTGCCTCTAATTGCCTTGCCCTTTTTGTGTTTTTTAGAAATGTTCTTCTCGCATTAAAATGCCTCCTCTCTAGCTTATATAAAACAACTAATAATGCCAACCAGGCACATTTAATGTAAAAAAATTTTAAACAAGGCAATGTGGGTGTTCACTTTTTTTTTGTTCCTCACGAGTTTCTTTTTTGCCAATATGTATTTAAAGTTTAGAAATTATTCATTTCATTTATTTTTTTAAATTTTAAAAGCTTTATATATTTTTTAAAATTATTTATTATCAAAAATTATTTTATAAATTCTTAGAAATTTTCTTGAAAAGTTTCCAGCTCTCAAAGATTCCCTCCTATTTTTCCTCCACACAAATTTCCGATCTTGCCTCGCCAATTTATTGTTTTATATATTAAATCAGCTCATATTTACGCCTTCCATGTTTTTAGAAATCTCGTTTTACTCCACCAATTTCTTTCCGCGTAGAGAAGTATAGCCCAATTCTCTCTTTTTCCTTGCTTGCGGTTTTAAAGTTTTATTTCTCTCAATTATTATTGGAGTAGTTCGAGTGTCCCTCACATCACTAATTTGCTATGTGCCTTTAAATTTCCTTGACCTTATTTTTATATAACATAATTTGTAAGAAAAAAGCATTCTTTGTCAAGAAAATAAAATTTACGGAAAAATATAAAATAAGGAAACAAAAATAAAGAAACAACCCCACAAAACTAAAACAACAAAAAATTCTCTCACAAATGCTTCCACCCTCTTTTACTCCACCATCATGTCTGCCCTCGACAGCTACTACTTCCCTTTTCTCACCCACAACAATAAATGCTACAAATTCTATTGTTACAGCTGCAATCCCCAGCTATGAAATATCTAGTTCTTCCATTCTATCTCCTCTATTGCCACCCTCACCCCTCCAACAAGAATCGCCTATTTCTCCATATTTTTGGGCAGCTAATGATTTTCCATACGATTATAAATTTTTACAACAAATAAACGTGGAAATTCGTTGTTTTTGCCATATTGAATTATTAAATGCCCAATTTTCAATAACTCATAATGAGGAGACAAAGTGAGAAATTTATTATAATATTTAATAGTTTCGTTTATACGTTTTTTATTTATTTTTTATTCACTATTATTTTTGAGGTAATTTTTGGAGTTGGAGTTTTAATTGCTTTCGGCCCATGTCCATTAAGTCTGTGATCCCACAGTATGTGAACCATTTACTAAAAGGTTATATCATGTTGTTTTTAATACCTTTAAAGGGTGCTTGTCGTGAATCCTCTAATCATATTAAAGTTGTCTATATCCGCGTTTCATATTTTGGGTATTGAGAAACGATTACAGTCTTGCTATAGATTTATTTTTAATATTTCCTTATTTTCCTTTATTTCTCCTACATATTCTTAAAATAATTTTTAAAAGTGAAATAGAGTTGTCATAAATTCATTCCTTTAGTCAACAGAAAAACCAAAGACCGAAAACATAAAAAGCAACAAAAATATGGGAAATAAATATTATTAGTATCCACTTCTTAGTATCCACTCAAAATTTATTATATTATTAAAAAGCTTTTTAAATGTTTTATATATTATTTTTAATTATCTGGCTATAACAAAGTTCCGGTTCATTTAAATGAGTCACTTTAAACCTAATAATTAGTCATTAAAAAGTTTTTCTTTATATAGAAATGGAAAATTATTTAGAAGCAAATAAGGACAGTTGAGGGAATTTCGTTTTAAGTTTAAGCTAACTTTCGAGAAGAGCTAGAAAAATTTGACAGAAAGGGCGTATTACACATGAAGCCCTGAAGCTTTTTCTTTTGAAAAATCTAGTTAAAATCTAGGATACATATATCAGCAATTACCATCCAAAGTAATGGTGTTCAATTTTTTAAAAACTTGCTTTTCAAATTGTTTTGAAATTTTGAGTATTATTTCTCAAATTATAATCAAATTTGTTATATTTTCGCAAAATTTGAAATAAATCCGACAATTCCAACTGGAGTTATTTGTAAAAATAGGGGTGAACGTATGTATGTTTATGTAACACTATATAAATTTAATTGAACGGGAACGAAATTTCAATTTTGGATGTTTTTCCTTTCGTTTTTCTTTAGGATTTTTCTTAGTAGTTTCCTTCGAAAATAATTTTTAAAACCCTAAATTTTTTTTATTATTTTTAAATTTAAGCATTAAAACATCTTTTGCAAAAAATGTCCTTTTCCTGTTGCAAAGGCCAATTTTATCAAATAAAATATTCTTACACATACATTAATGCTTTTTAATGACATTTTTTCGAAAAAAAAAGATTAAAAAAGCATTTAAAAACGTTAAAAAAATTTTTTTGATATTTTGCCAAAATATTTCCTTAAATATTTTAAATGTTAATATTTTTGTTGATTAATTTTTTGGACAAATGTTGGGGCTAACCTTTTTATTTTTTTATTAAATGGGATAAATACTTACAGTCATCGACATAAAGATAGGGGCAAGTGTAAATGAAATGAAAATTAACTATTTTTCGGTCAAAAAATTAGTTCTATATAGCAATCGAAAGCTCTATTCGTATCTCAGTTGACATGTTTCTGCATTTTTCATGAAAATGAAAATTGGCCGAGATAATCCGGATCTACCGGATATACCAAATCCTATATCCTCGGAAAAATTTTTCGGGAAAAATTTAACAAACCCATTTGATAAAGAATATTTTTCTGAGTATTTGCCAAAAAACCGCTTAGAAATATCTTTTTCCGGACGAGAGATATGATTTTTTGAAAATGGCATTTTTTGCCCATTTTTGCAAAAAATTCAATTTTTAAGGGAAAAATGCCATTTTCAAAAAATCATATCTCTCGTCCGGAAAAAGATATTTCTAAGCGGTTTTTTGGCAAATACTCAGAAAAATATTCTTTATCAAATGGGTTTGTTAAATTTTTCCCGAAAAATTTTTCCGAGGATATAGGATTTGGTATATCCGGTAGATCCGGATTATCTTGGCCAATTTTCATTTTCATGAAAAATGCAGAAACTTGTCAACTGAGATACGAATAGAGCTTTCGATTGCTATATAGAACTAATTTTTTGACCGAAAAATAGTTAATTTTCATTTCATTTACACTTGCCCCTATCTTTATGTCGATGACTGTACATTCCGTAGTGCATTAAATGTGGTTATTTTGCAATTTATTTAATAATATTAAAATATAATAATGTCAAATAAATGCAAAAAATAATCATATAAAGCAGAATTTTGGCATTCCTTGATGAAATATTTGAAAAAATGGAAAAGATATTGAATAATTTTTAAGAAGTCATTTAAACAATTTTAAATGTTTAGCTTAATACTTTAAATTCAAATTGTGTTTGTCTTTATTAGCAGGACAATTTTGAACACTTATTTATCCGTTCTCTCCATATATACATACTCTCTAGTAAAGTAGAGATTGGACCGAGAAGAGATATCGAACAAAAATCTCTTTTATCGTTAACGATATTTTTCAAGATATCAATCCCGTTTCTTATCAATCCAATTTCTTACTATAGGGTAAAATTTGAATTATGAGGTTCGCCAGGACATATTTCCGTTTGGAGAAAATTAATTTAGTGTAATGAACCCTCATTCAAACCTTTTAATTTTGAAATTTTTCAGTGATTTCTTTGTTGAATTGCTTCCGACAACAGAAGGGAAACTTGCCGTTCCTGTGCTATGTGTTCTTTTTCGTTTTTTACCAACGGAACCTGAACATTTTCAAATTTTTTCTTCATCCTATGGGTTTTGGAGACGTTGTGGTCTTGTGAAACGTTGTGTGCCTAAAACATTTTCTAGTGGGTCTAATGCTGAGAATATACAACCTCTTAGATTACATTTACATGTATATGAACAATTTTTCTGTATCAAGATGAATGGGAAGGAGGTTAGAAAATCATTATTATAGTCAAATCTCTATAAACGTCACCTCCTGACCGAATTTTGCCGACCTTAGGAGTGAAGTGAAATACAAAAAACCTCTCAGGAATTGCACGAACATAACAAGTGAAGGGGAAGTGGAGGGTGTTGTTGACATAATCGAGAGCTTTAACTGTATAGGACTAGCGCTAACCCGATTCTTAAAAATCTGGAATCGTTTTTTGTGTCCTTAATGATTTTTAAATACTTTCAATTTTTACTTTTCGATTTTCTTTCAAAATAAAACCTAGTAACTATATTTTCTCAATATATATGCACTCTACATTTTTTATAAATTGAGTCGAAAAATTATCAGCAAGATAGAGAGGCTTGATAGAGAGACTTGCCGACTTACTTACTAAATCTTTTATAGTATATATTCAGATTGAACGACAACAACACCGCAAAGAATTTCTTCGCCGCTTTTATCAGCCTCGTATTGGAAATAGAAACATTTCAATTACTGATGAAACAAAATGATAATTTATTTTAAACCTTTTATTTTTTCTTAAAATTTTATTGGAAAATTTTTATATGATTTTATTATTTAAATATAAAAAATTATTTTAAATTATTTTTTTGTTAATAATTATGTTAAGTGGCCGAGCCTGAAATAAAGATGAGTAAAAATCTGGAAAACGTTAATGTCCAGATATATAAGTGTTATTGGCCTGATTTTATGTCCACTTCCATGGCAATACGGTACGGAACCAAATTCCGATCGCTAATTGTATTATTATTTCTCAATACCATTTCAGCTTTCATGTTTTTTATTAAATTTAATTATTGTTTATATATTAGAGTTTCGAAATGCGATTATGAAAGGGATGTCGATAGCGACTCAGTTAGTGGAATCTCATGCTATTTATTGAAAATCCTTCTTTTATTTTGAAAATCCTCCTTTTAAAACCCTCCTTTTATTTTGTTGAAAATTCATTGACAGTAATTAAAAAAATTTTTAGTAAAAATTAATAAAACTTAATATTAGTTTGAATCAGGGCTGTCCGCAATTGCGGATTGCGGACTGCGGATTGCGTAAATTGCGTGGTTTTTTAGACTTGCGGACTGCGGATGCGGCTGCGGATTTTAAAATTAAAATTGCGGACTGCGGATTGCGGCTGCGGATTTTTACGATTTTTACGCAATTTTTACGCAATTTTTTGAAATTTCACCCACAATAAATGGAAGTAATCTGGCCCCTTGGCCTTCCAAAATTCTCAAAATTTTCGCCTCCGGCGGTAAAAAGAGAAGTAATTTGGCCCCTTGGCCTTCCAAAATTCTCAAAATTTTCGACTCCGGCGGTAAAAAGAGAAGTAATATGGCCCCTTGGCCTTCCAAAATTCTCAAAATTTTCGCCTCCGGCGGTAAAAAGAGAAGTAATTTGGCCCCTTGGCCTTCCAAAATTCTCAAAATTTTCGCCTGCGGCGCTGAGAAAGAAAGAAGTGTTTACATATATAGGATGATTTGCATGGTTAAAGGGGAATTTGGTGGGTATCTTGTGATGAGAGGATAGCGGACAATTCCAATGAGGATATACAATTACACACTTAAGGATGAAATTTTTGGGAATTAGACAAACCCATACATGACCTGCCCGGAGAAAACAGATCACCGACACCCTCGAAACTTTTATAATTAAATTAAGTTTTATATCTTACTAAGAGTAAGAGGGATTTAGAGAGACGTCAGATGATTTGGAGATTTATAGGGAATGTCGAGGGATAGGAAAGGATATCATTGGAACAATATCACGGGGATCAAGGGTCTAGTACAATTTCGGAGATATGGAATGTAAAGTGATATGGTAATGTGAATGGATCCAGGGCTTACTCATACGATATCCCGTGATATCAGGTCAAATCCCCTGATATCTCGCCAAATCTCTTTAAATTCCTATATCACACCAAATCAATGATATCCCTTGTAGCCACCCTTAGTACCTCAAATCCCCTTATTTCTCCTGACTACCACTTATTTCAAAAATTGCGGATTGCGTAGAATTGCGTGTTTTTTGGACTTGCGGACTGCGGATTGCGGCTGCGGATTTTAAAATTAAAATTGCGGACTGCGGATTGCGGCTGCGGATTTTAAAATTAAAATTGCGGACTGCGGATTGCGGCTGCGGATTTTAAAATTAAAATTGCGGACTGCGGATTGCGGCTGCGGAAAATTTTTTTCACTTGCGGACAGCTCTGGTTTGAATGCTTGTTCGTCTTGTTCTTTAACAAATATAGATTTAATGATGGAATTTTCAAAATATAAATTCAAATAGATTCTAATTTAACAGGTGTCAGCTAAGTTTTGAGCACCCCTTGAGTTACGCTGATAAATAATTATTAAAATTCAACAAAACGTTATCAGAATTCAACAAAACGTAAATTAAGAAGAAATTAATATTTAATAAAGTTAAAAAAAGTTTTTAAAAAAATTTTTGTCTAAAAACAGTCGGATAAAAATCACAAAATTAATAAAAGATTAAAATTATGTAAAATTAAATCAATTTACCAAATAAGGATTCGGACTTGGCGGAAAAAATGCAAATCTTCTCTTTTTTCTATTCTTAATATCCATTCTAGGGTGTAAAATGTAAAAGCAAATAAGGATTAAAAAAATTTTTGATAAAAGGAAATTAAAAAAACCGGAGAGTACCCCCCCCCTCGCTCCAAAACCGGAGAGCACCAATTTAACAAAAAAATAAAATAACCCCAATTTTAAAATAAAATTCCCAATCACAAATCCTCTATCATTTCTTTCTTCAAAAATATCGTAGACAATCTAGTTGTTTTTCAGTAACTTAAAAATTTTTTAAATATTTTTTTTAAACTCGAGTAAATACATAAATCAAGAGAGCTATCCTAGGGAACTTATTTTACAAAAGAACCTAGAGTTGATTGATTTATTAGAATAAAGCTTCTACTTGACCCGAGGTGTCTTTTTACCTCATTTTGAGGCATTTGCCCCCTTCTTGGATGATTTTGCCCTCTTTTTGAGAAGCCATGATCTCTTTTGGTGATTTGGAAAGGGACACTCTCATTTTCGACGAACTAGCTGACTAAACAGCCGACTAATGGGTTTTTCAATATTCTCCCATAGCTTATATCCAGAATATCTAAATACCTGTCTTTTAATCTAAGAAAACACCAAATAATTTAGCTTTTTTCCCTTTTTGTTCTCCTTGAGGATCTGAAGAGCTACCCTCGCCTTGAATTTGTTGAGGATCCGAAGCAGGGCTGTGCGCCAAAATTTTCGCGTGGCGCGCCAAACGCCAAACGCCAATTTTTCAAATTTTAAAAACACGCCAAACGGGAGGAGAATTCCTATCTCCCGAAATGAGGAAAAGGAAAAAATTTGGGTAGAACCCCGTGAGATTAAGGTGGATATGAAGACAAGAAGTGGGTAATAAGAATAACATGGGTCTTGAAGACAGTAAATGGTTGATGATGAAGTATTAGTTTTAGATAAGACCATGATGGAAGTATTAGTTTTAGATAAGAGCTCCCTACTTTAAGCGCCGCAGGCGAAAATTTTGAAAATTTTGGAAGTCCAAGCAGTAGATTTCTTCATTTTTATGCGCGGCAGGCGAAAATTTTGAAAATTTTGGAAGACTGTAAGCAGAAAAATTTCCTTTCTCGATCGTCCCTTCTACCAATTATTTTAAAAAATTCCCATCAATAGGGGTGTATATTTCTGGCGTTTGGCGCGCCAAAATCGAAAAATCACGCCAAACGCAAAACGCCAAAAATCGGCCAAAATTAACGCCAAAACGCAAAACGCCAGACGCCAAACGCCATGACGCACAGCCCTGGTCTGTAGTATATTAAACTAAAGTCAAATAAAATAACTCAGATTTTAAAATAAAATTCTCAATCACAAATCCTCTATCACTTTTTTCTTCAAAAATATCGTAGACAATCTAGTAGTTTTTCTGTAACTTAAAATTTTTTATAAATATTTTTTAAACTAGATTAATTTCAAATCAATAGAGCTATCTTGGGGAACTTAATTTATAAAAAAGCCCAGAGTTCATTACACATGGGTGAAGTAAAGTGAGACCGATGGAATTGTTGTTGTTTATAGTCGGACCGTACCGCACTGTAGGTATTTTATATCGGTAGTATGGTACGGAATACGCAGCCTAGTCTCTAATATAAGCCCAGTAAAATGACCCATTGAAAAATATAAGCCCAGGGCTTATATTGGAGCATTTACGGTATTTAAAATCACCATGTGTATAATGACACCATTCAATGCGCAATTTCTATTTTAAACAAATTATTTAAAAGCACATTGTATTACTTTATTATTGCATAAAATTATCACATAATGATTTAAATAAAATTCATACTTGGGAAGGGATTTGAGAATCCAGAGAAAGGGCTTGTGTTAAATACTAAAGATTTTAAGGTTAAGGGCTACAACTGTGCTAAGAGAAATGTTCCAGTGATCAGTTCAGGAGAAGTTATCAAAACCTCAATCCTCAAGTTTTTTCTCTGGTTAAATTTTGTCCTCTACATTTAAAAATTTTAAAAATATACTGTATTGTCTCTAATAGAATCCTATAAACCCAGAGAAAGGACTTGAGTTAAATACTAAGACCATCCAGTAGAAGCCCATGCCCTAATATTTATAAGCCCACCCAATGAGGGTATTGAAAAATAGAAGCCCAGGGCTTGTATTAGAGATAATACTGTATATTAAATAATATATTTGCTGGGTAAATGATGGTTAATATGTATATAAAATAGTTAATAAATTATTTAATTTTATTTAATGATTGTATGGGGGTAGAAATTTATAAACTAAGCGTTGTTTCTTCTCTGGTTTTTGAATAATTCCTTTTTTATAATATTGTCTCAATGAACGGCTCAATTTATCATAATTCATTGCTGCCCGATTTTTACGAATGCCCCAATAACGGGCAAGGTGATGAGAAGACTCGATCTTGAATGTTCCTTAAAATTATATTTTTTTGGCATTTTAAAATTAAATTGTTATTTTAAAATTAAATTGTTATTTAGTTCATTTGATAGTTAAATTATATCTGAATCTTCCTGTGGAAGAGGATTCGCTTTCATTTTAAATAATAAAAATTCTTTTTTCCCTCACCCTCCTCTCTATTAACCCAACGAACACATCCTTCAAACTCTTTCGGCCTGTCAAGCAATTCTCTTATAAAATGCCACAAATGTATTGTGCCACTACTTGGATTATTATTTTGGGCAGCTATAATTCGTTGATGATGTCGGGGATTTTGTTGTTGTTGGGAATATTGTTGTTGTTGTTGATTGTTTTTATTGGTGTAATGAAAGTTTGGATTTTGTAAAAGAGAGCAATTCTATTAAAAATTTTTTTTTATTTTTTTGTGTATTTCGGGAAGGATTCTTTCCTTTATTGGTAAAAATTTATTTTGCCATTTTTACTAAAATTATAGCAAAGTTGGAGGGCTAGGGGAAGGAAGCATAGCTATTTAATACCTATGTCTACTGGAAACTAAATTCTATTAAATTTAAAATATTCACATCTCCGGAAACTAAAAATTAAATAATTCACCTCAGTTTGATTACTAAACAAAGCAGCTGCGGCGTTTACAGCCTTTTCGTTTTCAGATATAAAATATGTTGAAGGTGTTGTTGTTAATGTTGTATTGGTATTTATGTAATTAAGGTGTTGATCCTCATCTCCCACTGTAATTTTTTATTACAAAAATTTAAAAAAAAATTCGCAATTTTAAGGGATTTTTTAGAAATATTATTTTAATTTAAAAAAACAATTCCAAAAAAATATTTAATTCAAAATTTAAATATAATAAAATTAATTATGCCCGAGCAAGAGTCGTCCTGTCGAAGTGTTGTATTGGGGGATTCGGACATGACAGATTCTGAAGGAGAACATTCATCACTAGTAATATGGTGAATGTGAAGACCAGAAGATGATAGAAAGGAATTTCCAGGTCTTTGAAGGTTCTGTTCTGGGACTAATGTTCCGTTAAATTGTTGTAGATGATAAGAAGGTGGAACTAAAATAATTTTAATTGTTTTATAAATTGTGGATTTATTATTTTTTCGATTTGTTGATATAAATCGCATATTTAAAAATTCCTAATGAACTTGAGGTTAAATTTACAATTTAATTATTCTTTCATTAAAAATTTAGGACAAGATTTGTGTAAGGGTATACTAGATTTCGAGCATTATCCGAAAGTCTAGGAATTTATAACGTTTTAAAATTTAATATCAAACGGGCCTTGTGCAAGCGTTCTTTGGTTACTATAATATTGCTGCTGATGTACACCTTGATAAGTATGTATTGCTTGATAATGTTGTTGTTGGGGATAAGTGCGGATACTAGGTATCTGTCTTCTCGAAGAATTCGATTGGTTAAATTGTTGTGAGGCAGAAGTTGAGGAGGAGCAAATACTGCTAGAGGAGGGGGATGTTGATGAACCAACGGTGATGTTGTTGTATCCGGGATGAACTGCTGCGGTTGAAGAGTTAAGATGATCGTCATTCTTGGAATGGGAGAGCAAAAGAGAAAACATTTTTAAACAATTTAAATAATTAAATTAATATATAGTCGGGCCTAATTTTTGATACTCCCTGAGGCAAAAAATTAAATTTTAAATCGAGTCTAAGCTACTAATAAAAATTGAAGTGTATCTTGTATTTTGCTCCTCTATAAGTAAGGTCCAAGAGATTAACTTTATCAATTTATAAATATCTTACAGTCCAATCTCTGTTGTGGCTATTTATTTCAATATATGGTTGTTGTTGCCCACAAGATTCGAAAGCTTTATATAATAATAAGGTTATATAAAAATTTTTAAAAATTCAGAAAAACTTAAGTTTTTAAACTACAATATGAGAAAGGCAAATAAATTTAGTTATGTAGAATTTTTAAAAAATATAATCACCAGTTTTCCAAAGTTGCAGTTGTGCATGTAAAGTGTCTCCACCATCTGGAAATCGCTGCTGAAATTCTTCAACTCCAAGTGTCAACATTCTTTGACCGTTTAGGTTAACGAATGACTCGGGTGGAGGTATTTGTATTTGAAATTGAGTGCACATTTCGGCTACCCAACGGCGAGAATCTTTAAAAATATTTGAGAGATTTTGTAGCAAATATTTTATAATATGATTAGTCAAATTCCAATATAATAGAACTTTTTTTTAAACCAGTTAAGTTAAGAAGGGAAAAACTTTTACTTATCATTCGACATTTTCAGGACTATATCGACGAATCTGCGCATTCGAAACATGTGTTGGGCTCGAGACAATACCAAATTATTATATATTTAATGATTATTTGACATACATACTCTCTCATATAGGGAGATATTTTAAGTGGTTAAACTATTATAAGGTATTTAAGGAAGTTCCTCTAAACTAAATTGGGATTTCATAAACTCCAATGATCTAACCATCCGCGCTCCACAAAGCCAATTCTGTAGGTAAACCAAGTTTGGCACAAGTACTAGTAATATCAGCAATTAAATGCCTTAAAATCAGTTCACGATAAATTTCTGTCTGATCTGTTGGTTGTTGTTGTCCTTGTAAATATACATTATTATTGTCTTCACAATATTCTTGTTGAGGTTGATAAGTTCTGTTTTGTTCAATTTTACATATTCGTTGCAGGTTTTGTTGACTGTCATTTATCTTTACAAAAATTTATATCATTATTGGGGAAAAAATTTAACTTAAAATTTAAATTTCATAGTAATTTACAAAGGCTCAATTTATTTTTATTTAAGACAGTATTGTAAATGATTCAAAATAGGGTAGAAACCCGACCCCGAAAACCCCAACGAATTTTTTTTAGCAAAAACCCCGACCCGAACTCCGAAGTCTCTACTCCGACAAACCCCGATCGCCGACAATCCGCCCCCGAAGGGTGGGTTTGCTACCCTAGTTTAAAACAAAAAATTTCTGAAATCCTTGGTGATATCTGCATAATAGGAGTTGTCTGAAACTACCCAAAAAACTAGGTAAAAGTGTCTTGTTCTTGTGTTGATATCCTGATTTGAATAACTTTACAATAATTTTCGGATTTCCGTTTACTAGCATAATTTTTCCTTATTATATTGCAATTTTATTAGAACCTTCAATGCTTTCTTTATAAAAATTTCTACCTTCTCCTCATCCTCTTCATTTTTCTCTTCCTCCTCTTCCAATAATTCTGTATCACTCTGGGATTGTGTAAATGAAGATTGTTCACTCTTTATTATACTTATCTCAAAATTACTTAAATCTTTGCTTATTTCCTCATCTTCATTTTCTTCTTCCTCTTCCTCTTCTTCATCCTCCCCTTCGCCCTTTCCATATTCGTTTTTATTTTCTTTGTGTCCCCTTTGGCACTTTAGCTTCATTCAATTAATAAGATATTTAGCTAATTGAAAAAAAATTAAGAGATAAAAATAGGAATTAATAAACGAGTTTTTGATGAGTAATATTCAAAAAATTTGTATTTTAAATCAATTTTTTTATTTGTGCAAATTAAGAAAATTTTGAGTTTAATTTTATAAGTTTATCAGTTTATGGATGGAGTAGACAAATAGTTTGATTAAAATAAATATTTGAAGACTATGAAGAGGGCAAACCTTTATTTATAGAAATTTAATTTTAATATTTTTTTGCAACTATGAGGCACACCCAAATTTATAAAATTAACCAAAAATAAAAAAATGATTTTAAAATTATTATTTTTATTTTTTAAAAGATAAAATTAAAAAAATTTTTATATAAAGAAAATAATTGAAAATATTTTTTTGATAATTACTTTCAAATTTTAGCTTAATGGAAACTAAAAAATCTTTATTTTTTGATTATGAGAATAAAACAAATTTTGTTAAATTCTGTAAGATAATTATTAATAAATTAAAATAATTGTTTTTTAAATATAAATTAAAAATTTGTAAGGCCATAGTTCCTACTGGCCTATCAAATAAAGCAAAATAAAACTATCGTCGGGAGTGGGATGGTTACGAGGTTAATAACCTTTGTCCTTACATCGAAATCTCTCAAAATCAAGTCTCATCACTAGGGCTGGGAAAAATATGCACGCAAAATCGCAAAATATGCGCATATATATGCACCGAAAACGCCCAAAATATGCACCATAATATGCAAAATTTGCCAAAATATGCACTAAATATGCAGCAAAAAATGGCGAAAATTTACATTAAAAATCAATTTTTTATCTAGAAAACACTATTTTGGCCTTTAAAATTTAAATTTAAGATCATTTCTATAAGATTTTATGGACTTTAAATTTTCGCAGAAAAAAATTTTTGAAAAAAATTTTTTCTCAAAAAATTTCTAGAAAAATTTTTTTCAAAAAATTTTTATTAAAATTTTTTTGACAAAAAGTTCAGAAAATTTTTCAAATTTTGACCAATTTTTATAAAATTTAGCAAAAAATGCCAAAATATGCTCAAATTTTGGTAAAAATATGCAAAATTGTCCAAAATATGCACAGATATGCAAATATGCACGAGAGGGCCGAAATATGCAAAAATATGCATTAAGAACCGGGTCCCAAAGTGCTCGGACCAATGTAAAAATACCATTTTTGAGCTTCTCTCATCAAGGCATATCCGCATACAAAACATGCATTTGCATGTTTTTCCCAGCCCTACTCATCACATCTTTTGACTTGAAATTATTATTTGATAAATTTTCTGGGATAGGGATGGCTATTTTACTTATTTTAATAGATTACGTCTGATAGTCTATTAAATATTGCAAAAAATTTGTGAAAATTGGAAATTCCTTTAAAATTTATCAAATAATAATTTTGGTATATCTGTCAATTACAGACTTGTTATCTTAATTTAGATCCAAGAGAGTATTCGTACAATTACTTTTTTTGAAAATTTGTGCACATTACATAAATAAAAGAATTTAGATATTTAAAAATTTGAAAAATATAAAAAAAATTTGAATATTATCCTGAGATAAAATTAAAAATAAAAACCTAGAATTTATTAAATATAGGGGTAATCCTTAAGATCATTGGTCCCTAAAAAAATTGGGAAAAAAGTGCTGTTTTGATAATTTTGAAGTCTGCCAGTAGGTAGTCGAGTGTGCTGAGTCCGAATCTGAGCTTAGAATTGGTTTATTTCGAACCCCGGACCCAAATTCGACAAAGTCGAATTCGGGGTAAAAATTCAAAATTTCAAATTTTTTGTTTAATCGGACTCGTCTCTTCGAACTGAGTCGAATGGCATCATAATTATTACGTTTCGACAACTTTAGACGAAGTTATGGTGTCTGATTTGTATACGGAAGTCTCAGCAAGCGTATATTTAATTGATCATAACTTCGTCCAAAGTTGTCAAAACATCATAATTTTGATATCATTCGACTCAGCTCGAATAGTCGTGTCAGAATAGCCCTAAAATTTTAATTTTGAAGTGTTTCCCCCGAATTCGACTTGGTCGAATTCGGGTCCGGGGTTCGAAATAAACCAATTCTAAGCTCAGATTCGGACTCAGCACACTCGATTACCTACCGGCAGACCTCAAAATTATCAAAACAGCACTTTTTTCCCAATTTTTTTAGGGACCAATGAACTTAAGGATTACCAATATAGGTGTTATTTACAGACATAAACCAAATAAAAATTAATAATTTAATTTTATTTGAAAACTTTTTAAACAAAAATCGTGTTTTACAACAGCGCAAGCAACAAAAATAGAAAATTGGAAAGACTAGCTGCCATGTCATTCCAAAAAAAAATGAAAAAAAGGGAAAGAAATAAAATAAAACGCAAGCCCTCTATACTGGTCAAATGGCGATTGTTCCCTTTCAATTTTTTCATTCTTTTTTGGGCACGCAAATTGGATCTGCTCGGAGAAAATGAGGGATTTTTAGAAAAGAACGATTGGATTAGAAAAAAAGATTTGAAGGGGTAAAAGGGATATTCAACGTGTTTTCTGTGTGAACGAACATTCGCGCAGCGCAAGAGGCTGGAATTGGGAGAATAATAAAAAAATATTTGAAGAAAGTGGATGAACAAGAGGGCGCTGGAGGTGAGAGAGGGCAAGATGGTACACATATTCGCAGCATTTCTTTTCCTTTGATTTTCGATTGTACAGAGTGAAAAGAAATGTTTATGACACATTATCTATAACATAACTTCATTCAAATTAAAGATAATGAGATCAGATGTAGCTTAGCGATAGAGAACCAAATATGTAACAAAAATAATCAAGAATGCTTACAGTATCCCTTTGTTCGGATACAAAGTAGAAGGCTCGGTTAAAAAGCCCCACATCACTTGATTTGCGAACTGCCTCAGAGGGTACTTGCATTCCTGGGTCATAACTCTTTAAATTTTTTGAAATTTATGATTTTTTGAGCTTGTAGGTCTTGAGTCCTAAAACAATTTTGTTTCAAAACAACGTTACACACTTTTATATTACAGCTATACATCTTTTTACATTTGAGTATTTAAAAGTATGGTTTTTCGATTTTCGGGGGCATATACTGCGAGTTTTCGTCTCCCGAAGAAAATTCTTGCATATTTGAACTCAGCTCGGCGAGATGAATCGAATGGTATATACATCGACTTGCGATCTCGGTGGGCCTATACTAAAGTACAGCCCCAATGTCTATTACAATTCATTGTTTTCTGGACTTTTATCTGTCTAACCTTTTGCCAGTTTTCCATATCGTTTATTTCATTTCGTCTTTGCGATTAAATGGCTGTCTCTCCGTGAATGTGCTCCTTTTAATACTTTCACTTTTCTCCCCTTTATTTTCTTTCTTTTTGACCGACGTTGACCGATGATGTTGTTGATGATGTGATGACTGGTTAGTTGGTGGATATTGCTTTGTTGGAAGGCTATAAGCTTGCGATTTCATCTTGTGTGTCTTATTGAGCATTTTTTCTTGCAATTTTGCCTCTGGCGATGTGACAGCATGGAATAAACTCTTGCGCCCACACATCCAGATATTTTGGTTGTATTAATACTAGTACATAATATATAATTTTTGTGTGAATGTAATTTGATTTTTGCGACAACCAAATAACAACCCGTCCATTTTTTGGAATTGTCGAATAATGAATGATGGCTAATAAAATTTATAACGTAAATAAAATTTTTATTTCTCAACAAAAATTAAATTTTTAAAAATTAAATATCTAAGCGTATGTTGTTTAAAAATATTCGTTTGCTTGAAAATAATTTTTAATATTTAGAAATTCGAAAAATGCCCTTCTAACTCTAAGAATTTTATTAAGTAGGATAAAGATAAAGAAGTCTAAATTAAAAATTCTAATTTGGATTGCAGCAGTTCAGGTCAAAAATTCTAGATAGGTGATAAATTGATATAATCAAATAATTTATTATTATACTTAAAAATTAATTGACTAATCAATCTTTATTTTAAAATTTTTATAGGATAAATCTCTTAATTTTTTCATTAAATAATATTAAATAACTCCAAAGAAATTTAGAATAATTAATTCACATAAAATATAAATAGTAAATCTTATTTTTTACGAAATTTAAATTTATTTTTATTCCGTCTTTATTCCAATTATTATAAAATACAATGTCTATCTAAATTTTAAAAGTAATGGGTCGTCTCAAAAATTTAGTACAAATTTAAAAAATTATTTTCATTTTTTCGTTTCCCACAGACACATAATTCTTCAAATTAATATTTTTAAACATCATACATATTCTTCTTTAACATTAGAATTTTTGGGGATCAAAGTGCCTTTACTTTTCCTCCTTAAAAATAAAAATATATATTCAATTTGCAATTAATCGTCGCATCTAAATAAAATAGAATAAATTTTTTTGTGTTCAAAAAACAAAAAAATGAAAGGAAAAATAAATTAGAAAAATTCAACAATTCAGGTCAAAAATTCTTTCCTTCAATTTGTGCGCGAAAAAGCGAAAGTTATTCGTGAAAAAATATGTCAACAACGACCCAAATAATTTTGAAAAATTAAAGGAAAGAAATTAGAAAGTAATCAAAAAAATTGAAAAAAACTTTAAGGGTTAAATTAAAGCTAACCCTCATTTTTAGATAAATTCTAGGCTGAATGAATGTACACGATAATGAGGTTATCATAATACCGTATTTCCTATATTAGAGCCTCACCCTTTGTTAGAGCCCCACCCTCTAATACAGCCCCACTTTGGAGGATAGTTGAAAAATAGAGCCCCACCCTCAATTAGAGCCCCACCCCTAATACAGCCCCACGTAAAAATATTGGAGAAAAAATAAGTTTTTTTTAAATTTTTTTCCCTTCAGTGAATTGAGTGAAGTGAACAAAGGGGGTATCGATGTTTAAAAGAAAGATTAGGGGGATATAAGGATTGATGGATATCGTGGTATTCGGCCGACTCGAAAACCCCAACCCTAATTTCCACGATATCTATCCAAATACTTTAATATCACATATTCCAAAAAAAATCCCTTGATATCACTTCCAATACCCCAAATCCACAATGCCTCTCTTGCTAATCTAATTCTCTGATATATCGCCTTAATCCTGCTATATTTCACATGATCTCTTAAAGTCCGCTTATAGGTATGCCTCGATAATATCAACTGTTACCCTTCTAGATCCATCGATGACAAATACAAGTCCTTGAAATTCCTTTTTAATCATAGCAAGTCCAAATATCCCATTTGAAAACCCTAAAAATATCGGCCATTTTTCGATATTTTTTTATTTATCGAAAAAATCTCTCAAAACCTCCGACCGACGTTTAGCTGCAATAGATATTAATAAATGGAATTTCATCTCAAAAGAGGGTTGAAAAATAGAGCCCCACCCTCAATTAGAGCCCCACCCTTTAATACACCCCCACCTTAGAGGATAGTTGAAAAATAGAGCCCCATGGGGCTCTAATATAGGAAATACGGTATATGTCAACAACGACTATATGTATTACTTCAAGTACTATTGAGAATTTAAGAAAACAATTTTTAAAAGATTCGATATACATTTTCGATATAAATAATTTGAAATTCACGTATAGGTTTAGGCTTCCCAGCCCGCTAATTTTTACGTATATTTAAAACAGATTTTGAATGTATTATAAATTCGAGTTTTTTATAATAATGTCGAAATAATGTATAATAATGTCGAATATTCAAATTAAATTATCTCGGAAAACTGATTAAAGCTAGGTATCATTCGTTATTAGAGCACCCATTATCTAAATCCTAAATACTAGTGATGGTCGTGAGTTAAAAAAGCCCGAGAGTCGAGAGTCGAGACCGAGACCGGGAATCAACCCCGAGACCGAGTCCCGGGTCGAGACCGAGAGTCGAGACCAAGAGGTTAGGAGGTCTCACATGTTCCACTGGGACTTGTGACACAACAAACCAGCCAACAAACGTTGCAAGGCTTTGAAGCCATAAATCCTCCTATTTCATCCATTTTTTGCGCCGCAGGCGAAAATTTTGAGAATTTTGGAGGTCCTTAAGTCAGATTTCTTCCATTTTTTGTGCCACAGGCGAAAATTCTGAAAAATTTGAGAGGCCAATAGCCAGATTTCTTTGTTTTTTACCGCCGGAGGCGAAAATTTAGAGAATTTTGTAAGGCCTTAGGTGAAAAAAATTGTCAGAGCCGCAGGCGAATTTTTTTTGAAGTTTAGATGATATGAAGCCTCAACTTTTAAATTTTCTGCGCCGCAGGAGTGAATTTTGAAAAATTCATGACTATATATATTAAAATTTTTAATGTTTTTTCAAGTTTAAAATATTATGAAAAAATAAATTTAAAATTTTAAAATCAAAATCAAGTTTAAAAACATTTATTTCCGAAAAGAAAAATTTTTACAACCGCATTTCCACCTTAGGATCCGAACCGAGCACTTCCAAAGTATTCAAGTGAGTGAAGTCAGTCAACTTAACCACTTAACCATCGACCATCAAAAGACATATGGGAGAATTTATAAATATTACTTTCCCTTTTCCTTCAAAAAGTTCAAAAAATTTCCGTCATTAGGGGTGTAAATTTAGTCTCGTTTTCCGAGACTAAAACACCGAGACCGAGACCGAGAGCTCAAAAAACCCGAGAAATTTCCCGACTCGGGAACCGAGACCGGGAATCCCGACCATCACTACTAAATACATAAGAGCACAGGAGGTCAGGCAGATATACTAATACAAGGAATGAGAATAATTGATATTTAAATAGGTACATTGTTTTAAATTTAGGTAAAAAGGTCTACAATATTGTAATCATATTAATATTATTAATATTGGCAATTGGGAGAAAGAAATATTTAATTAACGTTAGTAAAGTAAATTTTGACTTCAAGTACTATTGAGATTAAAAAAACAATTTTAAAAGGATAATTAACCAAAATCATGGGTGTAATGCTTTCATTATCACATAATTAGTAATAGTCAAATAATTTAAATCTCAAAATAATAAAGGATCCTAATAAGTATACGTATTTTTAATTTAATTTAATAGTTTTATTTCAAGTTTTCCAAAGAATAAATTAAAAATTAAGAATGTTATAATCGTTATAAAAATATTTAGATTGAACAAAAAATTGTAAAAAAATTAATAATCATTAATTTAAAAAGCTCTATACCAATGAACAAATCATTGCCAATTAAATGATTTCCTGGATGATTGTCATTTAGATTTTGATTCGGATTCAAACTAGGAATTGGATTATTATTCATTGGCTGTCCAGCTTGATTAACATCATGATGTCCAAGATGACGTCCGTTCTGATTTTGCACTTGATAACAATTCAGGTTAATATTAGAAAATTTTGTTTTTGGCTCCCGAACTTTTAATTTTGGATTCCATTAATAATTTAATTCCGTCATAAAGTTCGCAAGTGCTTATCCGAAATGCGATCCACAAGTGTGGATCTGGAAGAGTTGGCTAACCAAAATATAGAATTAGGTTTGGAAATAGATTACTTCATTCATACTCTTTTTATTAATTCATAAAATTTCCATATTAAATAAATTTAATTTTTTATAATCATATAAAGGATCTTTACTTATAAATTGAATTATTTATTATCAAATTTTTTTGTAAAAATTCTATTGTTTTAAGAGCAAACAAAACTCGAATGCCATTTTTTATCAATTTTTATAATCAAAAATACAAAAATTGTTTTACTTTAAATGTCAAACAATATTTATTTACAATTTAATTCAATTATTTTGGAGTTTTTAAAGTTTTCTGCAAAATAATTCCTCTTCAATTTAATTTTTCTAAAGATCAGAAATTCTCGTCTTTCACATTGGGAGGATTTTTGGCAATCAAAATGCCCTTATGTTTCCACCTTAAAAATAAAAATATATTCAATATACATGTCTAAAATAAAATAATATGCATAATTTTGTGCTCAAGAAATGAAGATAATGAAATTAAACAAGTTAATTGTGATATGTAGTAAACATAGACAACGATACAACTTGATTTAAAAAATGGAGAAAATAAAGTGGATTATATCAAAACATTCATAATTTAGTATAGTAAACCAAAGAAATGTATGTATATCTGGGTCCGATCGAGAAAATGTTAATCGAAAATTTAAAAACCCTTAATTTGGAAGTACTGAGGCAAAAATTTGCAAAATGAATTGACTAAGCTACATTTTAAAAATTTATTTTCGCTCAACTATGAATGAGATAATAATCTTTCAATAACGATTTCAGCCTACAGGCGAGAATTTTAAGAATTTTAAGGTTAAATTTAATTTTTTAAAGTACTTCCAAAATAAATACCCTGATATACACATTACAAGTTAAAAATTATCACAAATTTTTATTTTAAAAATTATTCTCCTTTCTTTATATGTAGATAGTAGAGCAAATATCTATGTATTTATTTGCGGTTCACTTATTTTAAAAAGTTATTCGGTGTGGACATAATTTTTGAGCCTTTTTTCAAACTTGCGTATGGTTTTGAAATCTTATTAAGTATATTTCTTTAGATGTTTCCTAATAGATCACAAAAGAAGTTTCGTTTATTTTGGGAGTTATGGTAATCAAACATCAAAGGGTTCAAAACCTTCGGGTTCAAAATTTTATGATAATATGTAATGATAATATTGACTGTAATATATCATTCAAGTTATTCAAAAGCTACTAAGGCGGAGTCTCAAATTCTGGTATTTATTAGAAAACACTCTAAGAAATGTTATTTAATCAGAATTAAGAATATTTGCAAAAAAACTAATTATTTCCGTACCTAATATTAATTGAGTAGAGCAGATGAAAATAAATGACTAAAAGATAGATAAAACAAAAAACAAAAGAAAATCGGAAATAGACTTGTGTAATAGCTTTAAGAGACTAAATAATCTGGTTGTCACAACAGCAAAAAACAATAATTTGTAAAAGTTTAGAAATATTAAAAATAAGTTATAAATATTATTTACGATACAATTAACCTACCTTATTTACACTCTATAGTGACAAAGTAAAAAATCATAATTAGTAAGATTAATCGAGTTACCGTTTTTTTATTATTTCCCCTTGGAATTAATATTTAAACAACAGCGGATAGGAACAGGGCTGTGCGCCATGGCGTTCTGGCGTTTGCCGTGTTTTAAGAATTTGAAAAATTGGCGTTTGGCGCGCCACGCGTAAATTTTGGCGCACACTCCTGGATAGTTAATTAAATTAACCTACCTACTAGGGTTTCGCCGGAAGTTCCGGTTCCGGTTCCGGGAAGTTCCGGTGTTTTTTTTGGTTCCGGTTCCGGTTCCGGTCAAAATTTCGGTTCCGGCGAAACCCTACTACCTACATATATTTGAGTTTTATAATTTGAACGTGCTTTTTTTCATTGGCAAGGGGAATTAATCAAGAAAATACGGTAAAACGATATTTGAATATAGAACAAAATCAGATATGATACTAAGAATTTCAAATTAGTAAAGAAAAAATACATAGGTAAAAGAAACAAAAATTTATAAAATCTTTATTATCGCATAACTTCAAAAATAACTTGTGATAGCAAATAAAATTAAAAAATGAAACTTGAAATAAGAATTTTTAGTTTTGTATTACGAATTGGCACTTAATGTAAGGGGTCTTTATTTTTCTTTAACTTTTGTTTGCAATAGGTTCCCTTATTCTCATAAATTTTTTTTTGGAAAAGAGCTCATAAAAGAAAGGAAAATATCAAGCAGGTATTAATGCGGGGATCAATCCAGATGTCAACTCGCAGAAAGTCAACACCCTAATGGCCAAATGACCCTAAAGCCAACTCCTAATATTTAGCATTATACCTTTCCTGATGGCAAAAAATTAAGTGTTTACAAGATGCATGTTCTTTTGTTTAGTTTAACTATTTTTATTTCAAGTTTTTAAATATGATTATAAGTATAAAATTAAGGATAAAAAATTAATTAAAAAAGCAAAACGTTAGTTTTCTTTAAATTATCTACCCATTTGGATTAGGGAAGTTTCCAGCACGGTAATTCCCATACTGTCCATTATACATAGGCCTGTTGGCGTTATTTGGATTATTCTGTTGCTGCCCACCATGCAGAAAATCATTATTATTATTACGGGCCTCAACAACTTGGTTAACTGAACGTAAAAAATTAATGTAGGAGATGGCAGTGAGAATTAGGGTTGTTCCCCGTCCCCGTCCCCGAAAGTCGGGGAATTTGAGAGATTTTTTGAGAGATTCGTCTTTATTTAAAGGAGTGTTAGGTTCGAGTACTAATCATCGGAATCTGGCTACTGAAGGTCTAAAATTCTCAAAATTTTCGCCTGCGGCGCGAAAAATGGAAGAAATCTAGCTTAAGGACCTCCAAACTTCCCAAAATTTTCGCCTGCGGCGCAAAAAAATGAAAATTTTTGGCGCCGAAGGCGCCAAAAAAAAGTGCTCGTACCTATGTAAAAACACTGTTTTTGGGCTTCTCTCATCATGGCATATCCGCATGCAAAACATGCATTTGCATGTTTTTCCCCGCCCTAGTTATGAATAAAAGGAAATTATAATATAAGAGTTATTATATTTAAATAAAGATAGAAATTACCCAGAAAACCATCAATATTGTTTGGAGCAGGAGCATTTTGCAAAAGACCATTATTAACATGTTGATTAGGAAGTATACCAATAACTGATAAGAATAAGGACTAATAAACCCTAGGATAGGCTAAATCGTAATGTCTATTTAACTCAACGAAAAATTCAAAAATTTAAAATTAAGAAAAACTTTTGATATTTACTTTTTTTTAATTTTAGATAATTACCATTATTTTGTGGCATATTTGGCAATTGCCCTATATTTTGAAAGCCTAAAATGCAATAATTGAGATAAAAAAGAATAATTATATTTTAATTAGATCTTAGTTAATACTAGAGGTCGACGCAGGACAGGATCCTGCGCAGGATTTTTCAAGATGCTGTCCGAAATCATGCTTTTTTGAGTTTTCAGGATTAATCCTGAGGGATCCTGCCTTGGTATAAATTTTAAAACCCAATCCTGTTACAGGATCCTGCAAATGTGATTTTACCGACCTCTAGTTAATACTAAGACTAAAATTTTCTGAGACCTGGAAGTATATTCTCATTCTGAATTTGATTCAGATTCCGACGTTGATTTCGATTATTCGGTTGCTGAACAACGAATTCATTATAATTACGTTCTCCACGAACTCCATCGTTTCCTGAATGTAAAAACAATTAAAAAATTAATAGTCAAAAATTGTGTCAAGAATAAAGGGCATTAATACAAAAAATATTATATGGTATTTCAAAATAAAAATTACCCAGATAAACATCGAGATTCATTGGGTCACCATTTTGCAAAATATTATTATTCAAGTTATTCGGTGGCAAAACTAAAAATTTGAGAATAATTAACTTCAGGGACAGTCTATTGTTAATTCATTATCAAGTTTTGATATTTAAAATTTTATTTAAAAAATTTTTATGAGTATTTCCTTTTTTATTTTTTAATTTCAATATAAAAAGTACTATTATTTTGTCGCAAAAGATTTTGCAATTGTTCGATTTGATTTTGAGCCGCACGCAATGCTTCTTGTGAAGCATGCAATGCTTCTCTGTTCTCTGCAGCATCAGCAAGTGCGGCACGCAATGCTTCTCTGTTAGCAGCTGACTGTTCACGTGACTCAGCCATTTGTTGTTGATGAAGTCGGAAAAGTTCAGCGTATTGTGTCCGAGAAAAATTTAAATCCTGTCGAAGCTGATTCACATTATCAGACAATATTTTAGTCGGTGCATCAGGTTTATGTCGTCCTTGATTCTCAACAGGCTGTAATACAGCGTCAACATTATTCTCATTATTAGGAAGATCGGGTCTCCGCATCTTAATCAAAATTTAAGTAATTTGAAGAGTTAAATCGAAAATTTACTGAAATAGCTGATAAAAATTCCCAATCAAATGTGTTGTTATTATTGTAGTGTATTCCTCTTACAAAAAAACCAGGAACTAATCCTGACCTGAGCAATAAAGATTATTAGAATAAATCCTCAATATTAAAAATATTAATACGAATATAACAATTATGAAAAAATTTAAAAAATTATTATATTTATTTTGCCAAAAATTCATTCCCAATCTCCCTTTTTTATTTTTTCCTCAAATTCGCTCCAGTTCGTCCCTTCCAAATAGTAGACGTGCGTGCTCGTACAGAATGAACTATAATATTTTAGAATAAATCAAAAAGAGCCGACCCTAGAGTATCGACAAACAGAGTACCACACCCTCGAATGACCCAAAGTATCTGGTATAGAAAATCAGAAAAAGTTCAAAAATACCGAGTTCATAAATATTTTTCAAAATTTTCGAAGTCGTAAATCGAATGAGTGATCAATCGGGAGGGTGAGAAAGAGAGTGACAAACAAGAGTGATATTGATCACCTCAGTGATCAATTAAGAAATCCCGTGTCAAGAACCACCGTGTTGTCAAATAGGGGTGGGGCGGATATTAATGAAGACCGAACAGAGGTGGATAGGAATTCCGATTTCTGAAAAAAATTTTGATTTCCGATTTCCGAGTTCCGACTTTTGAGCCAGTTCCGATTTTCGGCTCTTCCGATTTCCGACACCTCGGACTATCCCGACCCACCTTATGGTTTTCGATACTTACGGTACGATATAAGAGCGATTTGATACTTTGTATCATTCAACTTAGGGTGATGAATTCTGGGTGTCTATATTCTGGGTGACCCAACTCAAAAACAATATGTAATTTTAGTTTGTAAATATGAATATTGAATTTAATGGACATTGTGATAATAGATAGAAAAGTTAAAACGCAATAAAAATGAAATCTACAAATCAGTGGGTCATAAACTGCAAGATTACTATAATGATTATCAATAGAAATATTACGTCTTGATAAAAATCCTCAGTTTTAAGCATACTTTTATGAAATTCAATTAAACTTTGCAAGAGAGGCGGAACGGAAATGAAAATTATTAAAATTGTTTTGTATAGACTCAAAAAATAAATAGTCAAAAAGAATTATAGATTAATTAAAAAAGAAATTTAAAATAACAAAACTATCCGACAATTTCCTGAAGGCTTAATTTGAAATTTAATTACCTTTACATCCTTTAAGATACAAAAATTTCTGGTTTTAAATAAAAAAAAGATTAATGTACATACTTTGGATCACGCAGACAGAAAACCAAATCCACAATTTTCTGAAATCGTGAATTCTGAAAATTTTAAATCTCGGATTTCCTTGTATGTGAATTCACAAGCCAAAAATTTCCGGGAATTCTGTGAATTTTGTTTGTTTTAGACGAAGTGACGATTTTGACATCGACTTCTGTGAATTCACAAAAATTTTGAATTCTATGGTCGGCGCGATCCCTGGTACATACTAGGCGGGTAAAAAAAAACTGTTAACCAAACAGGTTATTGTATAGAATTATTTCGGTACTAGTGTTGATTTAAGTCAGATTTCGTTGATTTTTTGCATACAACAATAGTATTGTATAATTTGGCATAAAAAAGAACAGATACCGCAAAGCGATTCAGGGAAAAAGGGGGAATAAAACAAACTATTACCATTATTTTTTCGAAAATGTTTAATAAAATAAAATATGAAGGGACTCTCCCGGTCAATTAAAATCACTTCGCTCAGTCAAAATTGGGGAATAAACAAAATCTGTAACCGAAAGTAGTGTCAAAAACCTGCAATAACAGAAAAATAGGGGTACAGGTTAATAACCGATAGTATCCAAAACATTAACATATTATAATGAATGAGAAAAAAGAAAAGAAAAAGATACTTTCAGATCAAAATTAGTATTTACAGCATTCTTAAAAAAGATAACAAGTTCGATTTCAAAAATTAAGAATTATCAGGTAGTCATTCAAAACTAGAAATTTTGGCAACAAATAATTGTTAGATAAATTTTGGAAATTTATAAATCAATGAATTTATAATAGAGTTCTTCTTCTCCCGTCTTCCGACTATTTTTTTGGCAAAAACCCAGACCCGAACCCCGTGGCTCTACTCCTACAAAACAAGTTTGGAATAAAACATATAACTGTAAGGATGGAATTGACACCTTGCGCCGAAAAAATAAAGAGAGAAAAAGGAAAAGGTATACGGTAGAGTTGGGAGCTAAATTTTAACTCTCATCGGCTATCAGGGGCCTATATCAATTGTTCGCAGATTCTGCTGTCTGTGGAAGTTGCAAAAAGAATTTTTATTCGCTTAAATTACACTCAAATAGGTACCATAATTAACCGCTAACTATTTTAAATATTAAGTTTTGAAAATAAAAAAATTATTTCCGATTTCCGACTTTTGAGCCAGTTCCAATTTCCGGCTTTCACGATTTCCGACACCTTTGAATGTTCCGACCCACCTCTGGCACAGACCGCAGAATCTGCGGACAATTGATATAGGCCCCAGGTGTAATATTTATATAAAAAATCAAAAAAATTGAAATTAGAACAAAAAATTATAAATTAAATGTTTTTAGATAGATTAAAGTGTTATATATTTGTTTATATAATTTTTGAAATTTTCTATTCATAAATGGACATTTAGAATTTTAATGTTACTTTGGCTGGCGCCCCACTTTCCTATTTATTTTTACTAACTTTTTCTCTTTTTATGGCAAATTATATGTACATCATTAGAAAAAAGTGATCTTTTATTATTCGACCCAGCCCGGAGAGTTCTTTCGAATGATATACAGGGTGCGGCAAATTAGTGGCCGCTTTTGTTTTGGCTATAACTTTTTTAATTTTAAACGAAAATTGATAATTCTTTTTTTACTGGATTCCTGATACTTTAGCAAAATTGTTGATACCAAAATCTCCTTTAAATCTTATAATTAAGTCTGATTAATTTTCTATTAAATTTCGAGCAAAAATTTTTGGATAAAATTTGGCCTGGATTCAAGGCTATTATTTTAATGTGAGAATTTTATATATCATTCGAATCAGCTCTCCATTATGATTCAAATGACGTCAAAATCAGATGTCTATCACGTAAATGGACCAAGATATGATCTTGGTCCTGAGCGAGAGGAGTTGATCGGTACCAAAATCACTCGGATTGAATTATTTTGAACGAAGTTATGATCAACTAAACTTTGTCATGAAAAATTTTTTTTAATTTTCTAGATTTCGAACCCGTTTATCTTTGCAATCTGTGAACCAAATTTTTACTATTTGGTATCAACAATTTTGCTAAAATGTCGGGAATCTAGGAAAAAAAGAATTATCGGTTTTCATTAAAAATGAAGAAAGTTATAGCTAAAATAAAAGCGGCCGCTAATTTGCCGCACCCTGTACTATAATAAATTATATATCAAGGAAAATGTTCAAAATAATCAGGGGAATAGAAAAAAAGGTGGGCGTCAACCAAAGTTTAAGTTTAATTAAAAAATAATTAGACCAAAATTATTGTATAAACAATCTTTAAATAATTTCAAAGAGAAAATTTTTTACTTCAGTTAAGTAAAGTTTTAAAAGATTCATTGAATTAAGAGTTTATAAAAATCGTAAAATTATTGGCTAAGTTAACTGAAAAATTCAAATTGAAAAAAGTTTAAGAATAAAATAATTATTGAAGAATAAAAAATAAAAAATAATCAAAAATAAAAATCAAATATATTTTTACCGATATAATAATTAAAAGAAATTAAAAGAAACTTTAAATAAATTTTAAAGTTTTAGATTGATGCAGAGAATTAACCAGCCGATTTTTCAAATATTATTTTCAATTAATGAATTTTCTATTAAATAAATGTAATTAAATAAAACATCAATTTTTAAGATTTTTAAATCGGCTGGTTTTAAAAAATAGAAATTAACCAAAGAAAAATGTAAGCAAGAACTTAAAATTTAATTTTTTGATTATAATAAATAAAATTTATGCCTACCGAACAATTGTTGGATTGTTCATCAACAGGTCATTGCCTCCAAAAGTTGTCAAAGCGCTAGATACCTGTAAATAAACATATAAAAAAATTTTTTTAATTGTTTTAAATTTTATAGAGGATTTAAAGGGTTATGGCTAATATTAATCCCTTATTTCCCTCTATGTCTCTGTATTTGAATTTAAGATTTAAAACTATATTTATGTTTTAAGCTGAACCAGGTTTAGGCCCGGATCTTTGATAACCCCTGGCATTTTGAAGATTGTAAATATAATTTTGCAAAACTACGAGTTATAGATTAAAATACCACAAGAACAATTGAATTAATTAGAATTTAGTAATTTAAAAACAATTATGGGACAAAGAAAATTCGGGGATTAAAAACTCAATCTTCATTTTTCAGCAATGAATTCAAATTCTAAATTGTTAAAATTTAAGTTCGTTGCCCCCCCCCCCATATTTTTCAATCTTCAGAGTATTGAAATAGTCAGACTTGAAATGTGTTACAACTTATTAATAACTACCAGGGAACGCGCCGATAGAAAATCAAATTCCCGATTTTCGGGAATCATGAATTCCCGAAAATTTCGAATTCACGATTTTCGTGAATCGTGAATTCACGAGCCAAAAATCGTCGGGAATTCACGATTTTCGGGAATTGTGAATCGGGTCGGCGCGATCCCTGATAACTACAATTGCCAGTTCTGTTTTTAAAACAAATGTTCCGGAATTATGCGTGTATCATAACTCCGGCTGAGTATACTCTATAACGATACGGGAAACCTATTACAAGTAGAAAAAGTGGTGCACACTCTTGGCTTTGTTCTAAAAAGCAGAACTTGTACCTATAGCCATGAGTAAGACTGATATCAAATTTAAAGTCTGATCATATTTAATACTCGAGGAAGGAAAAAGGGGGAAACGGACTAAAATTTAAATTCCGAATGTGATTTAAACATAATTCCTCACATCATTCATTTGTTCATTTTGGTCAAAAGTTGAAGTCATTTCCTCTTGTACCTCTGATTTTACAACTATTTTCATTTTTTACAAAAATTTTAATAAAATGTTGTTTTATTTTTGTTGTCAAAATTATAAAAAATTAATATTTTGGAACTAAAAATATAAAAAATTTTACACAATATACATTAATAAATTTTTAGAATTTATTAAAATTGAAATTTTATGCCAATAATGAATTGTTGGAAATAAAATGCAAAAATATTGAAAAATTAATCGAGATTTGAAGTAATAAAGATGAAAAATTTAGGTTTGGGTTCTAACAAATTTTTGAT